TTGTGACTTGTCGGTAACTGCGGCTTAGGTCCCTGAACGATTCCAGTCGAATTTTTAGGCCCGCTTTTCATTTTCTGCCAGTATATCTGCGACGCACTGCGAGCTATCTTCTTGATTAGTTGCCCAGTCGTCTCCGTAGTTTGAGGCCGAAGGTGGACGGTTTTAGTTATTTTTTCAAAGTAAAATTCGATATTTCTATTTGGCTGATTTATTGCGCTGCTGTTAAGATGTCGTTAAATTGTTAAAAGTTTCAAAGTCTGTCAATTAGCTTCTGGTCTATGTTCTGCAAGACCATCTAGTGTGTTAATTTGCTTGTCTAAAACATATTGACACATTCCATCTTACTCATAGATATCTGTGTTGATTCCATCCTTAGAGGAATACTTGAAGAAGGGAGTTTGCACTTCGATGGTTTCGGTTTCAGCTTTTCCCGCCGTTACTGCCTCAGGCGTTACCGCGTCAGTGCAGCAGTTAAAAAGTACAGCTTTGCGACATATCCGATCGATCAGTCATACTCTATTATCTAGCACACAACTCTGATTTCTATCTATGTTCAGGCCACCGTTGTTTTTAATGATGCAAGTATTTTTTTCTTGCGGTAAACCGTCATTTCCTAACAGCTCGTAATGAATTACGAGGTATACAAGATCAAAGACTGTCTCCAACTCGGTATATCTGTCTTACAGTCGAGCGTTGTATCACTGTTCCGATGCAACATGCAATGCCAAAACGTTCGACAGCTGGTCATTGCTTATTAGGAAACTCTCCAATGATTTTCATAGGGCAGAAGAATCAGATGCCGAAAGCCTAGGAAAGACGAAAATGGCTTCGTAGGTGTGACAGAATAAAATACATGCGCAGGCATCCCTCTTCGTTCCTTCTTGGGATAAGCAGCTTCTGCTTTCAGCTGTCTGCTTCTTGATGCTGTATTGTTATGCAGACTCCAATGCTGATGTTATTTCAAGTTTGCCGATGATGCCATTCTTGAATACTTGGCGTCCTGGTGCCCGCAATACTAATTCATTAATGTTCGAAATTGAGCTTACAGCTGGTGTTGATTATTACGACGCATAGTCAGAATGGACTGATATCATTTGGGTCAAGACGAAGTGCCATCACAAGGGCGCTTGCTTTAGACATCGTGGCTGAACACCTCGATCATTCTGACATGACCAGGTCAGAATGCAATGCCATCCGTATATTCATAAATTACCGACTTACTACTTGTTTCTCAGGGTTGTTTGTGTAGAAGCAACATGGGGTTAATTGCTTGCTAAAGAGAATTCACGATAAAGGCAGGTTGTCCCTTTAGCAGATTTGAACCCGGCACCTCTGGAGTTCAAGGCAGCCTCTTAGGCAATGTACTACCCTTCAGAGTTTTTGTAGTTAATTCAGATAGTTCTCATTTCTTTTCTGCTGATTGTGCAGATCCACTTATGCCGATTAAGTATGAATTCGTTAGAATAAACGTTATGCACTGTGGCACATGTCAGAGTTTTCATGTATTCAGAACACTAAGCATCTGAGTATTGCCAGCGTACTTTATGCATTGAAGAGAAGTATCGACTGCGCAGTCAAGTGAGAAGGATGAGCAGCAACGGTGAAAGGGCAGGGTTTTTCACGATACTTAGGTTTTTCGCCATTCAAGCACCCTTATGTTGACCGCTAATGACTCCATGCAGACAACTTCTTTATCGCTTTAAGACCATACATTTAATACCGTATGCTGTAATTTAGATATATTTTTTGGGTAAACGTTTCATTTAGGAACATTCAGGGTCGTTCGACCCGAATGAAGCTTCGAATCTGTCTTTCGACCGGGCGTTGTTGCAGCTCGGTTATTCTTCCGACGAATGGTTTGAAAAATGGCATGGTTTATCGCAACGCGACATCGTTCGAAACGCGGCGATCGTTCTGGGCCGGATGTATTCAGCCCGCACAGCGCAGTATTGATCCGGCGCTACGGATGACTTGTGACACGAGTCTGAATTTGTTTTTAAAGAATTTAGTAATCGTGTCATCAAGGGAAAGAAGATAAAGGATAAGGCGGAGACGCTTTGTAGCGGCTATTTTGTGTACATGTGACCGGAAGTTGTTAAACGGTTTGATTATATGTCCCATCAGTTGAGCGTATGACTTTTTGTTAGAATTTCTTCTGCTATAAACTACATTTGATTTATTGGGGATCTTTCTTTTAAACCGTTCTTTATTTCTGTTTTGTACGAGAATCCGCGATGCACCATTGGTTTAATATAGGCCTTGTACATATTTCATGTTCTTGCCGTGTCGTGGTTCTTCACGTGAAACTGTTATATTTCCGCAATTTCGTAAAAGTACTTTTTCACGTACAAAAGTGGTTTTTATTTTTGTTTACAATAATTTTCCTTACCTTACTTGATTAGATGCAAGTATTTAGATGGCGTTACTCATTAGAGCAGATCAGGCGCTTCGTTGAGAATAAGAGCAATTTCATGGTATTAACAATTATTAGCTTTACGACTAATGTAACAGTGAAAGCAAGAGGATTGTAATAGTGAGAACCAGAAGCTCGTTGGCTGTTTGAGGCTGTACTAAGATAACGACAAAGAATAAGAATAACGTCAATAAGAAGAACTAAGAATTACTGGTAGACCCACTGACAAGTAGGAACATCAGACACTTTAAAGATGCTTTGGCCATCTCTTACGATCCAGCATCCTTTTAAAACCTGTCTTGCGGGAATCGCCCACAATACTCAAAAAAGTTCCGAATAGGCGACTTCACGTTCAACCAGTAATCGCATAGACTCCGTTATCCGTCTGACAGAAAACGGTCAGCAGTAAAGTTTTTTTTGCATCCTGCTAAGTTGTTCTCCCTACACTCAAATGGCTATGATAGGTGAAGCGATGAGCTGATAACGTGAATTGCATGGAACTTGAGGTCTTCTCTTAATTTTTCAGGCATACCTGTACTCGTGTTTGATTCGTTTCACGTCTACGTTTCTACTGATATTTTAACAGCGAGTCATGAAACGAATGATGGTTATGATTTTAAAATCTTTTCAAATTGAACTATTTTCTAGTCAGTGACTCATATCGTGAGCTAATCAAGGTTTAGGTGTCTTGTTACCATGCTAGGGCACAGCGTATAAAATAAAATCCCTTGATTCTCAGTTGCGTGAGAAGTCAACGGTGTCATATAGATATTTGGGTATAGTGCAAAGGTCTCCATAATATTTGGTAATATCTTATATGAAATAATCCTTCGTGTAGTATCCAACGGTCATTATGCGCTTGACTTTACTGCGTGGCAGCTTACCTCTCACTACTAGTGGAGCATGCGTAATCGTTTCTACTTAATATGGGAAGAATGGCCATTGACTTCGATCACCTGGACCGACCAGTACTGGGCTACGAATAGCGCTTCCGACAAAAATGTGTTATGTTTACGCATGATGTTTTGCCACCTGCTCTTAGAGCTGACAGGGGACTCGAATTTCTGACAAGCGGGTTCCATATTTCCGTCAGGATTTAATCGAAGTTTTCATTTATAGCCTTTGACCAAACGGTCTGACCGCAGTGCAAAGTGACATTGGCGACCTTTCCTCTTCGTCCGCCTTGCGGGTGGATCCTTTTCGCCTCGTCATGAGACTGCCATTAAGCTTTATGGCTTTTCTCTCATGAACGAACTTGTCGAGCTCGAATTCAACACGGCTACCTGACCCGTCTGCGATTACTTATTTATCGTCGTTAGCCTCCATATCTGGAGGTCGTTATCATATCCGTACCCTGGGGCTGTTGGAAGATTTGTACAGATTAACTGTCGTATACGAATCTCTTTCAAAGTGCTTGTTAGTCTCCACCAAGGATGTCATGTCTCCTACAGTGTTCGTAATTTTTATGGACAAGATTAGCAGGTGCATTTACCATAGGTACGGAGAACGTTACAGTAGAAAATTTTAACTTACATGCAGTTGCAGATGATCGCTTCATCGTGTGCTGACCTCAAACCCAGTCATAGGACAATGCCAAAAACAATAGAGGATGCGAACGCTGTGCGCATCGAATGATCCTCATCGAGTTTTTCACCAACGGAGTACATCATGGGCAGCACGACACGAGCTGATGTTACGTGTCGGAATCCGCTACTGCAGCCAGGGAAAATTTCGGTTTTTGGAATGGTTGAACCGAGATACAACAGGGTAAATTCCTTATTCAGGGAAATGAAAAGCAAGTGAAAAATGGTTTGGGGGTTGAACTCGGGACCTCAGAATTGTCAATCACACTGCTAACTCATTATGTGACTGCCCAGCCTCTTTCCGTAGGAACTGAAATATCGGCACTATTCTATCGTTTGTGTTGCGTTGGGTGTAATGAACTATTTCTGTAATAGCGCCACAGGACGCATGAATATTCGAAAACAATTCCGGAACCACGTAGTATAATTGTGCAGAATATGAATACGATGACGGTGTACCCCAAGTATGCAGGGTAACGGCGATTTTAGGAGGTAACGGAATTGCTCCACACGTGAACTTGTCATTTAAATTACTAGATTCTGTACTTCTGCCATGCAGCAACAGCTGTTATCATTCGACCATACCTCCCTTAATAATGTTGCATTTTTATTTCACATTCATGGAGCCCGCAACACAGATGATGCGCGCAACGTCAACGTGGAAACTCTTGCGTATTTTAATCGTCGAAATTGAATAAACCTCAACTAATTTAAACGCAAGTGTAGCAGTGGTGTCTCATTATATAGAATTCAAAACTGGTACTTTCTGGGTTTGCTTGTACTCAATTTGTGAATAGAAGTTTCAACTGTCCTTAATTTTTCTACACCGCAATCACGCTCAATTGTTTTAAGATATATCACAGACATATGTAAAGCAATCCAAACATTGCTAATCTAAATAATTCTGATCAGTAGG